GACGGCCACCCAGAACACCCGCATCGCAACTACGGCGCATTCGAAGGCTGCCAGAGCGATGGTCAAAACGAGTATACGTCGGCCGAGGGGTGGCCGAAACATACCCATCGCGAGTACGCGTCGACCGCAGGGCGGCCGAAACATACTCATCGCGAGTATGCGTCGGCCGCAGGGCGGCCGAAAAATACACATCGCGAGTATGCGTCGGGCTACGGCAGCCCGACACATACTCGTCGCGACTATTTTTCAGTGACCACGTTTTCGGGGTATCATTTTTTGATTATTTTTTGAGTATGTCGAAAATGGAGTGAATTTCGACGTCGCGAAAAAAGTATGAAATCATTTTTTTTCTTACCAAAATACTTGAAACATACTTCAGAAATACTTCGCCACGCGAGCTCGAAAATAAAAAATACTTCGCCACGCGAGCTCGAAAATCGAAATACTTAAAAAATACTTCGCCACGCGAGCTCGAAAATCAAAATACTTGAAAAATACTTCGCCACGCGAGCCCGAAAATCGAAATACTTAAAAAATACTTCGCCACGGGAGCTCGAACATCAAAATACTTGGAAAATACTTCGCCACGCGAGCTCGAACATCGAAATACTTCAAACATGCTTCGCCACGCGAGCTCGAATACCGAAATACTTACGCATGTTTTGTATTCAGCAGCTAGCGACGGCCTGCCGCGCGGGCGATCCACGCGATTTGCGCGCTCAGTTCGCAGCGCGCGAGGCGACCTAGCAACCTGGCGCACTCGCATGCTCAGAGGCCCGCCGATAGGGCGATGCACACTAATTCTGAGTTCAGCTGCTCGCTTTTCGGACCATCCTGAATACGTTCGGGGCCTATTGGGTACTAGAGCACGGGGCTGACATGCGTCTGAATCTTCGCAATCTACAGGGGGGGGGCGTCCACCGTTTTTCTGGTTTCGGAATAATGCTATATAAATTCTGTATGGTATCCCATGTGCCCTGCGAAGGGTACTGCCGCATCCAGGTCCGCGGCGATGCCCGCTGTTTACATTTGCGCACGCGCGTTGCATTAAAATCTCAACGCGCTGATATGCGGCGAGATGTGTGACGGGCGCGCGCATCGCTCGTCTGCCATGGCGGGGCGCAGCGGCCTTCCCCGAGGTGGGCCGTTGCCGCTCGCGGGTCGACCGGCGGCGCGCCAGCGCGCGCGGGGCGTTTCCAATGGCCCATGGCCCATTGCCCATTGCCCATCGACCATCGCCCATCGCCCATCGCCCACATTGCCCATTGCCCATTGCCCATTGCATTGCCCATTGCCCATTGCCCATTGCCCATTGCCCATTGCCCATTGCCCATTGCCCATTGCCCATTGCCCATTGCCCATTGCCCATTGCCCATTGCCCATGCCCATCTCCCATCTCCCATTGCCCATTGCCCATTGCCCATTGCCCATTGCCCATTGCCCATCGCCCATTGCCCACTGCCCATCGCCCATTGCCCACTGCCCACTGCCCACTGCCAACTGCCCACTGCCCATTGCGCACTGCCCACTGCCCATTGCGCATTGCCCATTGCACATTGCCCATTGCCCATTGCCCATTGCCCATTGCCCATTGCCCATTGCCCATTGCCCATTGCCCATTGCCCATTGCCATTGCCCATTGCCCATTGCCCATTGCCCATTGCCCAGTCCCCAGTCAGTGCCCAGTGCCCAGTGCCCAGTGCCCAGTGCCCAGTGCCCAGTGCCCAGTGCCCAGTGCCCAGTGCCCAGTGCCCAGTGCCCAGTGCCCAGTGCCCAGTGCCCAGTGCCCAGTGCCCAGTGCCCAGTGCCCATTGCCCATTGCCCATTGCCCATTGCCCATTGCCCATTGCCCATTGCCCATTGCCCATTCCCATTGCCCATTGCCCATTGCCCATTGCCCATGCCCATGCCCATAGCCCATGGCCCATGGCCCATGGCCCATGGCCCATGGCCCATGGCCCATGGCCCATTGCCCATTGCCCATTGCCCATCGCCCATCGCCCATCGCCCATCGCCCATTGCCCATTGCCCATTGCCCACTGCCCACTGCCCATTGCCCATTGCCCATTGCCCATTGCCCATTGCCCATTGCCCATTACCCATTGCCCATTGCCCATTGCCCACTGCCCATTGCCCATGGCCCATGGCCCATGGCCCATTGCCCATTGCCCATTGCCCATTGCCCATTGCCCATTGCCCATTGCCCATTGCCCATTAATTTGGGCCTGTGGTTTCCTGTAGTAAATTGGAATGAAGTGTCTGGCGGAAGCCGCTATTACGGTAGGCCCCAGAAGTTATGCGGGGGCGCCCTCCCCGCGGGCGCCAGAAGGCCCGCGGCGAGTGGGGCTCGGGGGTTGGGGGGGGGGGAGGCGGAGTAGGGAGGGGGAGGAGGAGGGGGGGTAGGCTTTTGCTTTACCGCAGCCGCGGGGCCCGTGGGTTCAGACCTGCCCGCCGTGGCTTTCCCTTATGAACGCGCCAACGTTCGAGCCGCCGCCAAATCTTATCCGTCGCCCCCGCGGTCCCGATGGCGCCGCTCCTCGTATGCAGCGCCCTCCTGTTGTGCAAATCACTGTTGATTTTTTTCTCGGCAGCCTCCGCCGCCCTCGCGCCCGCGCCCCAATGTGGCGCGGGGGCCGCGCCCGCCATCAGGCCCCCCGCCCAGAGCCCCAGGCGCGGCTCCCGACCCCGCAAATCCTCCGGCCACCGGAGCGACCGAGGCAGCCGCTGAGGCCGCAGATGGGCGCCCCGAGGCGGTGGACGAACCTATTGCAAAGCGCCCGCGCCTTGCAGGGGAGGAGCTCATTGTGGGTTTTTGGGGCCCGCCCAACCACGCTCCATCCCACGCCAGCAGCGGAGACAACAGCATGGAGCGGTACGAAGAGGTGCGGCCTTGACACCTCGAGTGGGAGCGGTTGGCCTTGGAAACGCTCGCGATGTATGAACGCGCGCGACGAGCTTGGCGCGAACTTGGCCAGGCAATGGCTGCCGCGGGCTACGAGGATGCCTGGAAGCAGAGCTCCCAGTATTACCGCGAGCACTGGCAATGGCACCTGGAACAGGCGGGGGCGGCCCTGCACCATGTAGCCCGTTAGCGGCCCGCGCGCCGAGCATGGGCCCATGAGCTCTGCTCGGCGCGTGGGCCTTCTCAAAAGTTAGCGCCTTCCACTCTTTGTGGAGCAGCGCATCGTCGACGAGTTCGGCGAAGTTTGGATCGACGCCCCCGTCCAGGGAGGCGGCGGCGAGCAGGGCCCCGTGGAGGGTAGCTAACGAGGACCCTCGAGCCCTGCGAATGGTGCCCACGGAGGGGGTGGACGGAGGAGGAGGAGGAGGGCGGAGGAGGAGAAGGAGGAGGAGAAGGGATAATGTTAACTTGGCTGCGGCATTCTCGACGCCCCGCGCACCCCCGCCAGCCCCCCCTGGAAGGGTGCTCAGCCGAGTTGCTTTCATCGGGGTAGGGTGTGAGAGTCATTGTAAGAGTACGCGTAGGAGTAAGAGTAGGAGTAGGAGTAGGAGTAAGAATAATAGTAAGAGTAAGAGTAAGAGTAAGCAGCGTAGTATGCGTGATATTAAGAGTCGTAGCAGAGCATGAATAAGACTTAGATTTAGATGGTTTTCAGACACGCTGGAAGCATGTTGGAGCCATCATGTACGCATCTTGGGGCCATCCTGAAACGCGTTGTCGGCACTCTATCGGAGGCGCACTGGGGGGAAGCATTCGAACCTCCTTGGGCCCTTCGGGTCTTCTGGAGCCCTCGTGAGGCTATCTTAGAGGACCTTGCTCGGACGGGGAGGGGGTCAGTTAGCTGTGTCCCCCATCCACGCACTGGGCCTTTACAACAACCGCTTGAGGTAGTCGTGGTGCGCCGTTCAGGCGCTCTTGGAGCCATCTTGGCGCTCCCTGGGGTGTATATTTGGGCATCGCTTGCCCCCCCCGCCCATGCAGCCCCTCCTGATTCCACCGTTCCTCCTCGTCCTCCCCTTCCTCAGCATTGTCGTCATCATAACCACCCTCACCCTTATCACCATTATCATCGTCATCTCAGTCCCCATCGCCATCATCTTCATAATCGCCTTCATAGCCTCCATCAGCATCAACCTCGCCATTATCATCACCACCGTCACCTTCATACTCGTCATATCCGTCATCATCCCCATTGTCATTATAATCGTCATCGTCACTGTCATCTTCACTATTGCCACCACCATCGCCACCGTCATCACCCCCCACCCCTCCATCCTGCCACCTCTTCCCCCCCTCTCCCCCTGTCCTCTACGCCCCCCCCTCGCCGTCCTTTTCTCGCGTCCTCTGCTTCCTCAACCCTCCTTATCCTACTCCGTCCTCGTCCGCTCTGCGTCTTCATCTGTCTTCCTCCCTTTCTTATCCTCCTCTGCATGCCCCCCCCCCCCCTCCTACCCCTCCTTCCCCCCTCCCATACCTTCCCCCTCCTTCTCCCCATCCTCCCCCCTCATCCTCTTGACGCCAACTTGTATATGCTGCAATTGTGGGTCGAGCGGCTACTTGTAGTTAGGTTTGTTCCCCAGTTTTGAGTTGCAATCGTGTCAGCCCCTCCCCCGCCCGACCAAATGTCCAAGCGCGACGGCAGCCATTCAGCCCCCAAGGGAAAGGCAAAGCGGCAGAAGCAGGTTATCATCTGCGTAGGCTGCGATTGCAACAGCGAGGACGCTTCAACCCAACCCCCTCACGGGCGCCCCTAAACATCTTCAGCCGCATTGGAGGATTGGTAGGGGAGGGTGTACTCGGAAATGAGGATAGGGAGGAGGAGGAGTTATAAGGGTGACTGTGAGCACGGGTAAAAACTGTGGCGGGGTAAAGAGGATATATGGTAGGAGGAGGATAGGCAGAAGAAACAACCTGAGAGGTGGAGGCGGAGGGTGATAAGGGGAGGGTGGAGGGCCACGACAAGGGACGAGTAGGAAGTAGACGCGGCCGAGGGGGGGAGGAGGAGGAGTCACGCGTTTGTTTTGCGTTCCTTTCCCAGGAGCACGAATGGTCACCCACGGACGCCGAAGATCAGGCATCGGCCCAGCTCCTGTGCGGGAAATGCTACAAGAAGGCAGATACGCACTTGTCCAGCTGCATGTCGATGTCGCAGGTTGTCACTATGCTGCAGAATGATGATGACTTCAAGCGCGGCTTCAAAGAGTCCGATGACGAGGCGAAGCTCAACCCAGCCGAGCGAACCTTTGCACCCGAGGATGTGAGCGACACGCACTTCTTCGAGATGGTGGATTACCGCGAGTTCTTGAAGTTGAATGAAGGCGAGGTCAAATCTCTGTGTAAGGCGACGCCGAAGAAACTGGAGCTCCACGAGATCGAGGGCACGAACGAGGTTGGCGATCAGGAGACGCAGTACCTCATGGTCGACGACATCGGCGGCCCCAGGACCGCTCAGTACCGACGCACGCGCATCAGCGTTGGCAGGATGGTTTCGAGGCGCCCCGGGATGCTCTTCCACGAGGACCACGCGATAAGTAAACATGGTGAGCCACTGCATGATCATGAGGTTCGAGGGATGGTCGACGATGTGAAGATACCTCCGTCTGGGAAGAAGAGAAATCCAGAGCAGGGTATGGATTGGCTCCAGCGGGTGCCCAAGCTGTCCAAGGCGCCAGCTTTCAAGGATGAGGCCCCCGCCGACGACACTGACATGGATGCCGAGGACGAGGCTGACGGCCCTGCCGCATCGGGTCGGCGGCCAGGCCGAGGCGGCTTTCAGGGCGGCTCTGCGAGGGCCGCGGCTTCGGGCAGGGGCGGGCTCCGCTCGCGGAAGGCTTCGCCAGGGTCTGCCGCGAAGCGCACCAGCTACAACAACTCCCCGAGGCCGTCGCCGTCCCCGACGCCAGGTGTGCGACGGCCTGGCTTGTCCATTTCCCAGGGCGGCGTCGGCTCGTCAGTCGCGGGCTCCACCGCGGACCCAGCTGTCCAGGCGATCTCAGACGACGACGGCGAGAAGGGCGAGGGTGCCTTGGCAGACGCCGACGCGGCCTCCAACGGCGACAGTGGCGATGGCGAGAAAGGCAGCGGCGATGACGGGCCAGGTCTGGACGACGACGGCCGTGCCATTGCTACCTCTTTCGACGCGTGCCCCAAGGACACAAAAGGCAAAGCTATGTACTGGAAGGAAATGGGCGACCTCACAGCGTGGCTGGAGGACAAGCTTCTGGGGAAGGAGTACAACCAGGCCAAGAGGCTCCTGCGGAAGATCAGCAACAATAAGGAGTTTGAGCACGAGCACAAGATGCTCAATCGGCACATGCAGCTGGTGGATGATGCGAAGTACGTCAGCGTTGCCAACATCAGCGAGGCGAGCGAAGATAAAATGACAAAGGTCTTTGAAAGGCTGAAGGGCGCCAGGGCCGTCTTCCCGAACAAACTGCAAATGGTTGTGCTCGAGAGGCGTCTCACCAGGAAGCTCAGTGGCGCGATCGAGCGCATGTCAACTGATGATGCGAAGCAAATCTACGACCTTGTCAAGCCGTACGGCCATGCCGAAAAGACGGAGTTCGACCCCTTGGATCCGACGGTTCCTCGCTTTCTTCTTGCAGCCGCCTTGCTTTCTTCAAAGACTTCTTCGTGAAGGGCATCGTCGCCCCTCTTCTCGACAACGATGGTTCCAATCAGCAGCGCCTGAAGGTAATGGTAAACTACGTCAGTATCACCATCAAGCTCGACCTGAGGAGCTCCGCTATTCCAGAGAGGTACAGCAATGACTTCTTCGCGCTGCTTACGGCCCTGAAGGTGATGCATTGCGCGCTCCACCGCGAGGGCATCGACATCTTGTCGAGCTTCGTCGGCGAGTCCATCGTGGAGCTCGACGAAATGGCAGCTTCCAAGGCTAACTCGGATGACATTGCACAGGTCCTCCATGCATCAATCTACGATTCGGCATTATTCCTCGGAGCTGGAGGACTTCAAGCGCTACCAGAAGACAGCATCCAAGTACCTCGAGGACGCCAACGAAACCATCACCAGCTTGGCGGATATTGCATCACGCCCTGGCGACGTGCTGCTCGCGAGCTTTGGCGAAGTAAAGCCCGTCCTCCTACACGCGTTCCAAGAGTTTCCGAAGTGGAACGTGTCGTTCCGACCTGGCTACATGACGCCCGTCGCGCAGCTGATGACGAATACTACTGTGCAGCTCTTCTGTGATTACGAGCAGTCCAGGTCCCACCCCTCGAAGACGTGCGCGTCGGCCAGTACGGACGACATTAAGCAGCTCGTTGAGCAGGCGGCTGCATGCTTCCCTTTGGACGATGACCTGCAGACCAAGCTTGCCCAACTCCACTCCTGGGGGCAGACGCAGATTTTCGGTCAGAAGCTCAGCGCCTTGGACAACGCGCTGAGCTCTATCAAAGCTTCGGACGACGTCACTTCTGAGCAGTGCGCGGCCTTGAAAGTGGCGTGCGAGAACTTCAGTGGCATGGAGCCTACTCCGCTGGTGCGCGAGGCGGCCGAACTGGTGTACATGAGCATCGCCGCCAGCGTGACGGGCCATCTGCTGCAGGATGACCCCGATGAGGCACAGCAGCGCTTCATCAATGAGGGGATGCTGGCGATGACGTCGTTGCAGCCTGTCGTCATCCGCCATGGGGCCCCCCACAAGAACATTCACGATGCGACCTACAACATCATCAGGTACTACCAGAGCGCTCAGGCCAAAGCAGGCGCGGTGATGAAGCTCGGCTCTGACGACGTGGAGCGCTCGCAGCACGCTGACGCAGAGCAGTGCTGCAAGGACATCTTCGGCGCCATCGACGGGCACGACAAGTTCTGGGACCAGTGCAAGGGCTTCAACCCCAACAAGATCCCCGAGCAGTTCAATCTGATGGCGATCAAGGTTGAGGGCTGGAAGAAGACGGCGAAGATGCTGAGCGGGCTGGTGGTAGATGACTGCAAGTTGAATACGAACAAGACCATCGACGCCGTTCAAGAGTGCGCTGGCGGCGCCCTGGAGGGCAAGAGCTGGACAGATGGGCTCCAGGCGTCGGCGAAGATCGATGCGGTCCTCAAGCACTTCAGCAGCACGCTGTGCTCGTTCGACATGAAGGCGGGCAAGGCGAAGGTGCAGGCGATGGAGAAGGCCCTGCCCAGCCTCAGCGTTCGACCAACCCTCCCTCCACCGCCGTCGTCGTCGCCCTCGGCCTTTGCCGTCGTCGTCGACGTCGTGGTCATCGTCGTCGTCGTGGTCGTCGTCGTCGTCGCCGCCGCCGTCGCCGTCGTCGCGCTGATGCGCTATCGCGTGGCATTCGAGGCCGTGGGCGCGTACAAGGCCTTGTGCGGCTCGTTCGGCCTCGACCCGAACGCTGCGGTGCTGAGCGAGTCCGAGTCGTGCGCGGCGCTGTGGCACGTCGCGACGGCGGAGAAGGCGTGCTGCCTGGCCTTGGCGGCGAAGCCCAAGCTCAGCAGGATGGGGCTGCAGCAGGCCGTGGCCGCAGAGGAGAAGAAGGTCAAGAAGTACGGCGGCTTCGACAAGTTCCAGCCCGCGCTGAAGGAGAGGTGCGTCAAGGCGATCAGCTTCGACTAGCACTAGCTGGGAGCCTAGGTCGAGGCTCCTCCGTGCCCTGCCGCCGCGGAGGCGGGTCGCCTCGGGGAACTGGCGCCACCGCGCTGGTGGCTGGAACAGGAGATGGCCAGGAGTGGCCAACATGTATTGGTTGGAGGAGGGGTGGGATGGGGGAGGGGAGACATAGGATGAGGCAGTGGATGAGAATGACGAGGAGGATCAGGAATAGCGTGCGAGATAGCAGGGGCGGGCATGGAAGAGCACGCGGTTGGCCCACATCCCCGTCGAATGCGTCTCGGGCCTTTGCTCGGGCCCGCTTCGGGCTCAGAGGGTTGATCGTGCTGGGCGGCGGGGGGGCGGGGCGCATCGCTGCTCTTTTATGCCAGGCTGCTGCATATCACCTCTTGGAGCCGCGTCCCCACTCGTGCTGTTCCTTGCCCTCCCCTGGTCCAGACCCAGTTGTGGACGTGATTCCCGTTCCCGACTTTGCCCCGCCTTTTCCACCGCCGACGCCGACGACGACGACGATGACGACGACGAAGCCGACGACGACGACGACGACGACGACGACGACGGCGACGACGACGACGACGACGACGGCGACGACGACGACGACGAAGATCGACGACGACGAAGATCGACGACGAAGATCGACGACGAAGATCGACGACGGCGACGATGGCGGCGACGACGACGAGGGGCGAGGACGACGACGACGACGACGCCGCCGCCGCCGCGACGACGACGACGACGACGACGACGACGACCACGACGACGACGACGACGACGACGACGACGACGACGACGACGGGCCGAGTGGCGAGGAGCATCTAGCATCCGATTCGCCGATGTCTTCAGAACGCCACTGGAGCGGCACTGCGAGGAGAGCAATTGCGCGTGATTTGCTGGCGGTGGGACCGTGCCCAGGCGATGTGGGCTCAGATTGCTTGAGCTCGCCGTTCCACACTCCCCTTCCACATTCCTATTTCCCCCCGTCATCCACTCGCTTAGCGCGAACGGTAACTTGAGCTCCCCATTCCCCCTCTCAGTGCGTGGCGCGGAGAGCCCGATTCAAAGGCCCGTTGTGACATCGAGCGATGTTGGTATCTCAATTGTGCGATGGTGAACGCCATAGTCGATTGCACCGTGCCGCCATTTTTCGATTGTGACGTGTCTGCCGCGTCGCTTGATCTCATCGGGGTTTGAGGTGGCGCACCGTTGGCGAAATGGTCTCCAGCGGCATTGTCACGAGGAGGGTGATGATGAGGATATGCAGCAGCAGCAGCAGCAGCAGCAGGCGCAGCGGCAACCAAGCGCCGCGCGGGATCAGGCCGTCCGCCCTTCGCCGCACCGACGCCGACGATCCGCGTGAGGGGTGGGCCGATTTGGGCGGAGCTCCTTGGCTCCCCTCCTATGGGCCCGCTGGGGTTCAGGGTGTCTGGGGGCACCTCCGCGGCCCCAGCGGGGTCAAATGGGGTGTTTTGGATAAGCTCAAGCGGGGCCCGCTGGTGGCGCCGCAGGGTTTTCAGAAGCCTCACATGGACCATGGCTTCTGATGGGCACCGATGGTTTCCAATGGATCCCATTGGGCTCTGGAGACGCCTCAAGAGGCCTCGGGGGTCGGGGGGTGGGGGAGGTGGCCTCGGGCCATTGGGCCCCGCTGGTTCCTCAGGGCCGCCGCCCCCATCTGGCTCTGGAGGGTTTCCATGGGGCTGCATGGGGACCTCCGGGCGTCTAGGTATCCCTACTTCTCCTCCTCGGGCACCGTCGGGGGTACAGTAGCAGGTGCACATATGGCGACCATGGGGGTCGTGGTATGGGCCCTTCTTCCCCCTCGCAAGGGATGGGAAGGGCCCTTACTGCATCGTTGCATTCCCATTGGGGTGCAGCGCCCCATGGCCTGTGACCAGCGGCGCATACTGCTGCTAGCAGGACCAACCCCCCACTCCGTTCCCTTTGCCCACCCTCGCTGGGGCGAGGGTGGACAGAGGGGGGCGCCCTTCCGCACCTTCCGTTCGGAGGGGAAGACGGGCCCCAGGAGAGCGGCCCCTCCTTTTACGGGCACTGCGCCTGAAGGGGGCTGCTTTGGGGGGGAGCCTCGCCCCCCTTTCTTTTTTTTGCTGCACGCAAGTTGCGCGTTCTGACGGGCCGAATTTCGAAGGCGAGCCTGGCCGCGGCGACGACGAGGGACCTGGAGGCCAAAAATCGCCCACCTCCTCCTCCTCCTCCTCTAATCCTCCTCGGCCCCAGCGTCTGGTCCCCGCATGGCCTCCTCCTAACGGCGCCCTTTGGGCCCGTCTGGGCGGACCTTCGGGTCCACCACGGGGCATTCCGCTGGGTTTCTCGGGGCCCGTGGGCTTGGGAAGTACCATTTCACATGCCGATAGGGCCCATCGGTTCGTGGAAATGGTTCGCTGGCAGCCAGCGCACGGCCCGCTTTATTCCCATATGCCTCTCGGCAAGCCCCGCCCCCGCAAGAGAAAGTGGCGACGGTTGCGCATTTGGCGGCCGCCCAGTGGCCCCTGGCCCTTGGCTGGCTGGTTTGCTGGTTGGTTGGCTGGACGGGCTTTCGGGTTCAGGGGGCGCGCGGGTGCGCTCGCACTTCTCATGCGCCGATTGGCTCGCCGCCGCAGTCGGCGCCCTTGCCGCTGGCGCCGCCGCCGATGAATATATGCTTTTCGGCAGTGACATATCGCCTGCCCCCTCCGCCTGCGCGCCGCGTTTGGCTGACTGGCTGGCTGGGTGGTCTCCAACCGCGGTTGGCTGATTGGTTGCGTTGGTTGGTTGGCTGGTTCGCGCCGCAGGTTGGCTGGTTGGTTGGTTGGCCGATTGCTTCTGCAAAGGCTCATAAGCGCATATAACCGCGCAGGCAAGTAGTGTGTGTATATGCGCAGGTACACGCACGCACTCATATTAATACATAAATGTAAACACGCCCGCGTACATTTGCGTATAAGCGCGTATGTTCATATACGTTACATGATATACATACGCATATCATGTACATGTTCACATGATATATACGCATAATGCTTCTAATCTTGCCGACCGCTCAGGTGCCATGGTCGAAATGCCACCCTTGCCGCCGAGCGGCCAGGGGCGGAATGCCGCGGCGCAACTGCGCGCTTCCGAAGTTGCGAATCGCAGCTCCTCGCTCCGCCTCCAGCGAGTTCTGCGGCGTTGTCGATGGGCGCGCGCGCCGATGGGCCGCGGCGGCGCGGCTGGGTTTGGCCGCGGGGCAGAGCCGTTGCCAGTTGTCGCCCGACAGGGCGCGGGTTGCCCAGTCGTTTGCGCGCTGCCCTCTCTTGTCAAGCCGCGCGCGCCAGCGCGTCGTTCGCCCGCGCGGCGCGCGACGCCGTCGGGGCAGCGGCCCCGTTCAGCCGCGCATGGGCGAAGGACTTAAATCTGTGCCCCGTTGCTTGCCGCCGGGGTTTCCCGCGCGAGCCCGTCGGCCAGCGCACTGCGCGGCGCGCCGCAGCCAGGGCGCGCGGGGCCGCCATGATACGAGGCCGTCGCGGGCAATGTCGGCGGGCGCGCCGCACGTTGCGAGCCCGCAGCCTACGCCGCGCAGCCCCTGGACCATCGTTCCGCATGGGGCGCGCGGCGAGCGGCGTCGGCTGGGGCGCGGCGCCGCTGGGCTGCCACGGCGCGCGGGCGCACGAGTGTGGCCGCTCGCCAGTGCGCAGGTATTTGCTCGATGTCCCGTAAGTGCCAGCGCGCCGCTAAGCCGCGCCGTCATCGATCGCCATTCCTCGCGCGCTTCTCCCTTATGTAGGTTCCCCGCGCGGCCATCGTCTGCCCGAGACTTCGCCGCGTCGCGCGAGCAGACGCGACGTCGCGGCCTCGGGGGCCGCCGTTCGTGCCACGGAACCAGACAGACGTCGCCGACGTAGCGTGAAACATGCAATTCCCAAAACACCGACACTAAAAAAATAGTATGTTTCCGAGGGCTATGCCAACTCAGTGAAAAAGTATTTTTGTCGTATTTTCATAGATATAGCATTTCCATGCCTGTAGGAGGACGCAAACGTCTCGGGCCTGGTAGACTTAACGAGCGTGTCCAGATCAAAAAAGATCAGCTGTTCACTCGATGTTTGCCCCCAGTTGTGTAGCGCACGTTCCTGTCGTCGTGTGGCAGGCTGAGGTGGCTGGAGGATCCGTCGTGCTGTCCGCTCCCATGTTCTCCCTCCAGCAAATGAAGGTTTCCCCCCCCCCCCTGGCGGCGGCCGCGGGCTCTGGGGGCGACTCGGAGACAACCCTGCAGGGCCCGTCGAGGAACCCCCTCACCGAGGCCCCTCGAAGGCTCGTCGGAGGGCCTTCGGAGAGCTTCCTTCGAAAGGCTTCGGATATCCGGCGTCTGGCCTTACAGTCGAAGTCCATAGTAAGGGTTGGCTGCTTCATTAAGGCTACCCTTACATCCCTGCTCTTCCGGCCGAAACTGAGCCAATGTTGACGTCCACGGCGCTCTGTAACTGGCAAACGGTACGTCCAAGGGTATTGAATCCTTGCTGTGCGTCCTTACTCTGGATTAAGTATGATTGTATCGCGTCCATGTGCCTCTGAGAGGGTCCGGGAACCCTCCAGAGTGCCCCCAAACAGCCCCAGATTTTTGATGTTCCAACAGGTTTCAGCCTTGACCACCAGCAAGAACTTCGAGCACCAAGAATGCACCCTAAACTAGAAGGGTTTTCACGTGTCGGGCCCTGGAAGGCGATTTTCGTTCGACATTTCGCTAGCGTGTCGGGCAGTCATTGCTTCAATATCTCTCTGGGTGCACGAAATTTTGGTTGGGATGTGGTCCTCAAGTACGATGGGAGCAACATGACCCAAGATGCCCATATCGCGCCTCGCCGCAGCTGGAGGTCCAAGGGTCACTTTGCACACGACTGTTTGGGAACAGCGCCCCAGCCGAGCCGGCGGCTCGAAAGTTTGAATGGTCAGGGGCCAGCCTCGGGCTCCAGGGGCCATCTAAGCGACGGAAGAAGACGGGTTCGTCCTCGGCGGGTAAGTTGCCTGTGTAAGGCCGCGCGTGAGATCCCTCGCTTTCAATATGTTGCGTGCTGCGCTGGCGGCCCGCGTAAGCCGCGGCGTGGCGTCGCTGCGTCATCTCGCGTAAAACCTGTTTTCTTTGTCGCTCATCTGAGAACGACTCGGCGTGAAAGCCGGCCCCTGGGACGGGCCGATCGGTCCAGGTTACCCGTGCCTCGGGAAAGGCGAGCCGCTGGATGCTTGGGCCTTCTCCGACCCTCCCTCGCCTCTTTTGTTGCTCGCACCTTGTCGCCCCCCTGATGGGGGTCGCCACGAGACCCCGAGGCGTTCCCTGGGACGTGTCCTTCACCCCGAGTAGTCTTTTTGACAGCCCCGGGGGCCCGTGGAGGGTTCCAGAGGCCAGAGAGCGGCGAAAAGTTTGGCCAGGAACCCTTTCCTCCACGACCCGTTCGCAGACATGCGATGTCCTGATGTTTGTTCCACGCGAGGTCCGCAGAAGTCCTGACCCTTTCCTCGGGGCTGGTTTGTCATCGCGAGTCGTTTTCGACCCTCCTGGGGCCCGGCGAGGGCCCCCAGAGGCCGAAAACAGCAACAAAAAATCCCGCCCCGACTTTTCACAACGCGCTCATGTCTGGGTTTCCTTCGTACCAGACGGAGGAGAGACGCGCTCTCTTGGCGTTCGCTCTCTGTCGGCCACTGCTCGGGGAGCGCGCACCTCAGGCTCCTTCACCGACGTGGAACTGGACAGGCGCTTCGGCGCCCAGGCCGGTGGAGACTCCGGAAAGAACTTGATGACTGAGGAGGAGGCGATGCGATTCCAGGAAGCTCGGGGGGGGGATGGGACTCAGAGTCGAGGATGCGAATCTCGTTCATGACACCCGCGTGCAGAAGCGCGCCCCTGCGTGCGCACCTTCGGCCACGGGCCGGCGCTGCGAGCACCGATTGGGCACCGGCCGGCACTGCACCAAAAACTAAAGCCGCATGGCGACGGGCATGGGACGGGCGCACATGTGGTCTTGGGGTGCGTGCAGGTGGGGCCATTCTGTGGCCCAAGATCGGGCGGCATATCGCGGTCCGAGTGTTTCACCCGAGGCCTCCTCACGGCTCATTCTCAGGAGGCTTACGCTCTGCAACAGCCGCGCGGATGGAGGGCGGAGTGTATTCAATTTGTTGATGTCGCCTCAGCGTCACAAAGCACACCTGCCTCAAGCGCTTCCAACAATTTTCGTCGTGGAGCCGTGGCCAGCCGATCCCAGCCGATCCCCGGCCAACGGTCTGGCCACATGAGGGCAAGCGAGGGCCCGGCGAATTAGCGCCGTATCACTGTACAGCCGATTGAGCAGCCAAGGTAACGTCCGACGAGCAGACAACCGAGCTTCGGTTTCCGGGTCTGCGGCTGGTCGGGACGCCCTCGGCGAGGCGCGGCTGCCGCAGCGCACCCTGACCGCCGAGAACCAACGAGAACACCCGAAAACCTCGAACCTCGAACCCCTAACGTTGCCCCTGACTCTACCCCCCTCCCCCTCCCGTGCTCTCAGTGCTTGCAGTGGTTGGTGGTGGTGGCCCTCTCCGTTCAGATCAGCATCAGCATCAGCGAAAGTATTCCCAGGATGTTCCAAACAGGCGATTGACAGCCTGCTTAGAGGATCGACTTCCGCTTGACGAATGATTGAAGTTCCTAGCGAACTTGCGCCAAGGTCTCTTGCATCAGGCGATTGGCAGTCTGCCTGAAGAATCGCCATCAGTAGCGCAGCTTTGATGTTTCTAACTGTTACTTCGGAGCCTCGATCTCAAATTGGCAGACGTGGCACAAGACAGGGAAGCGTAGCTTTCCCATCGCAAAGAGTGGATGAAGAACATGCTGCGTGCAAGGGCGAGCTCGACTTTATTTGGTTCCGTGTAAAGCGCAGTAACGCAGTCTGAATGCTGTTGAGTCTCATGTGACGTATTTACCTAACAGCGAAGACTGATAGGTTTCTAGTTGACTCAAAAGAGCTCACAGATCACTCCACAGGGGGGTCCGGGCAGGTGTTGGGAGTTGCCGGGCGGCAGGTGCCGGGCTCGTTTTTCGCCAACAGTCACACACTTCGTGCTCTTCGATTTCCCAGAACTCCATTCCCAGGCCACATTCTGGAGGGCCGAATGCAACAGTCACACACTTCGTGCTCTTCGAGTTCCCAGAACTCCATTCCCGGGCCACATTCTGGAGGGCCGGATGCAACAGTCACACACTTCGTGCTCTTCGAGTTCCCAGAACTCCATTCCCGGGCCACATTTGGATGCCCGGAGCCAACTGTAGGCCACTTCGTGCTCTTCGAGTTCCCAGAACTCCATTCCCGGGCCACATTTTGGATGCCCGGAGCCAACTGTAGGCCACTTCGTGGTCTTCGAGTTCCCAGAACTCCATTCCTGGGCCATGATTTTTGCCCGGAGCCAACTGTAGGCCACTTCGGAGCCAACTGTAGGCCATTCCCGGGCCAGATTTTGGATGCCCGGAGCCAACTGTAGGCCACTTCGTGGTCTTCGAGTTCCCAGAACTCCATTCCTGGGCATGAATTTGAATGCCCGGAGCCAACTGTAGGCCACTTCGTGTTCTTCGAGTTCCCAGAACTACATTCCCGGGCCACATTTTGAATGCTGAGGCAGGCTGAGGCTGAGGCTGAGGCAGGCTGATGCTGAGGCAGGCTGAGGCTGAGGCTGAGGCTGATGCAGGCTGAGGCTGAGGCAGCTGAGGCTGACGCCGAGGCTGAAGGCAGACTGAGGCTGAGGCTGAAGCAGGCTGAGGCTGAGGCTGAGGCAGGCTGAGGCTGAGGCAGGCTGAGGCTGAGGCTGAGGCAGGCTGAGGCTGAGGCTGTGACTGTGACTGCCGTTGCCACTGCGACTGTCATCGCGAATGCGACTACGACTGCGAGAACAGCACAATTCTACAACTGGATTCTCATCTGAATCTTAAGGGGAATGCTTCCAGATATGCTCCTACACATCGCTGTTAGGTTGCTTTGCCGGGATAATTTAGCAATGTTCCTTGTCGTTCCTTTCCTCATTGATTGTGCTGTAGGCGGTAGGAGGGCCACCTCGCAGACACCAATGCCAGATTAGATTGGAGCCTGGAGCCTCCGATCGAAGATTGACGATTGAAGATCTCGGCGGACCTATTCCCAGAATTCCCCAAACGGGTAATACGCAGTCTTCTTGAAGAATCAGCTTCTGTTTGCCGAGTGAAGGTTGAAGATCGCTCAGCAAACTTATACCCGGAACCACCCCTGCCCCCTCCAGCTCCTCCTCGTCCCAGGTGCTGGCACTCTGCCAAGCGACACCCCTGCTCCGCAACACCTGACCCTCCTAGTCCTCTCTCCCCCCTCCAGCTCTCGTGCTCATGCTTCCCCGCTTTCGCCATAAAGCACACGGACGGGTCCTGAGGTTTCTCGCCCTCCTCGGGCTCATGGGGCCCTTGCCGTGCCCGGGGACCGTCAAGAAACGACTCGGGACGAAGAGCTAGTCCTGGGGAAAGGCCCCCAGGTCCCAAACTCGATTCCCTCGGGACACGCTTCTGTCATGGTGATCGCTCGCGCTCGCCCGTGCTCCCGCTTCTGCTGCGGCCGGTCCCCCTCTCCGCCGCCAGTCGAGCGCCGCCCAGCGAGTCGCGTCGTGTCTGCGGGGGTCTCTAGAGGTCATTGAAGAGTGCCAGAGGCTCCACGATCCCAAGACGGGCCAATTGCGCACTCAAGCGTTCAAAACCAATCGTCATCCTCGAGCCTCCTCCTTCTCGTCCTTCTCCCCCTCGATCCGCGAACCTCGAGCCTCCTCCTCCCCTGCTGGGCCCCCTCAGGAGAGCCTGCGCGGGAGCAAAGCAGGCACCCTCCGCGGGGCGGGCGGGGCCTACACGGTGCTGCTCAACCCCGCCTGTGAGCCCGATCAGATGGGGAAGCGAGTTTGGGACAGGGCGTTCTCCTGCGCCTCCTGCTTCCAGATTCGAGCTACGGACCTTTGGTTCCCCGAGCGGATGCGGCCCTCGGCCCTTCCCGCCGGTAGCGCCAGCGGGAGGGGTAACAAGTACCAAGAGGTAACGGGAGGGGAGAAGAATAATTCTTCACGCTTCGCGTATCCCCACCAGCCCATCTCAAAACAGCAACTCTTGCGAAACATGAGGCCTCGTGGTGCCTCCTGGGGACCTCTTGTGGGCCATCTGGGGAACTCTAGGGGCCATCTGGTGGACCTCTGGGGGCCATCGTGGGGGGCTTGTATGAGCGCTGCCCGTCCTCCTGGTGTGACTCGTTCGGGCTCCGCGTGGTGTGAGTCGTTCGAGGCCCGCGTCGTGGTGTGAGTCGTTCGGGCTCCTCATGGTGTGAGTCGTTCGGGCGGCTCGTCCTGGTGTGAGTCGTTCGGGCCCCTCCTTGTGGTGTGAGTCGTTCGGGCTCTTCGTGGTGTGAGTCGTTCGGGCCCCTCGTCCTGGTGTGAGTCGTTCGGGCTCCTCGTGGGGCCTCTTGGGGGCCTCTTGGAGCCTCTTGGGGCCTCTTGGGGGCCTCTTGGGGGCCTCTTGGGGGCCTCTTGGGGGCCTCTTGGGGCCTCTTGGGGCCTCTTGGGGGCCTCTTGGGGGCCTCTTGGGGGCCTCTTGGGGCCTCTTGGGGGCCTCTTGGGGGCCTCTTGGAGGCCTCTTGGGAGCCTCCTGGGGGCCTCTTGGGGCCATCTTGGGGCCTCTGGCGATCTCTTCAGAAGCGCAAATGAGTGCTGCCCCTTGAGAAGGACAAAATGAGCCCAAAACCTTTGTAAAATCAATGATCTTGCTATGGAGGAAGAGAAGCGCGGCCCCCTTCAGGAGGCCAAAATGGGGCCAAAACCGTAGTAAAATCAATGATTTTGGCTTCAAAGAAGAGCAGAGGGGCCAAACTCGGCCCCCCCGTCGGGGCCAGAATCCTCGTGAGGGTCGTCGTTTTTTTGCCCTCCCAGGAGTCGAAAAAGACCCCCCTGAGAACACTCGGGACTCCCTGTCCAGGCCCAGTGGGAGGGGGGAGGGGGAGGGGTAAACCCCTCCCCGAAGGGGAAGAAGGGGGGTTGAGGACAGAGAGAGCTCTCTAAACCACTCACGCCCAAAGGGCTGGTGGGATAATAAGAATAGGAAGAATCCGAAACATAATAAGAAACAAACAAAAAGGATACGGGAGGGCGACGGTGCACCAGACGAGGATGTAGCCACCTGAAGGGGGGTTGAGAGGGGAGCTGGGGGGGAGGCAGTCTGTAGCGAGCTGTGTGCGCGTGAAGGTGCAGCCCGAGCATGGGTCCGAGCCCCCTGGGGGGAGCTGAGACCCACCCTGGCACCTCCCCTCAGGTCCGGGCGTTGCAGAAAAATCGCGGCGGCTGTGTTTGCGTCGTTTTCGGCCTCTGGAGGCCGTTTCTTGGCCCAGGGGCCACCAAGAAACTACTCAGGACGAGAAGCCTTCTCGATGATGATGATGATGATGCTGATGATGATGATGATGATGATGATGATGACGATGATGCTGATGCTGATGCTGATGCTGATGCTGATGCTGATGCTGATGATGATGATGATGATGATGATGATGATGATGATGATGATGATGATGATGGTGATAATGCTGATGATGATGATTATGATGCTGATGTTGATGACGCTGATTTTGATGCTGATGCTGATGCTAATGATGATGATGATGGTGATGATGGTGATGATGATGATGCTGATGATGCTGCTGATGATGATTGTAATGGCGATGGTGATGATGATGATGATGATGATGATGATGCTGCTGATGATGATGCTGATGCGGATGCGGATGCTGATGATTATGCTAATGCTCATGCTGATAATGGGGATGGGGATCGGGAGGGGGATGGAGATATTGATGGTGATGCTGATGATGTTGATGCGGATGCTGATGACGATAAACATGACAATGGCGATGATGATGCTGATGATGATGATGATGATGATGATGATGATGATGATGATGATGATGAGCAAGATGCTGATGATGGTAATGCTGCTGCTGATGACGATGATGCTATTGTTGATGATGATGGTGATGGTGATGATGGTGATGATGGTGATGATGATGACGATGATGATGATGATGATGACGATGATGATGATGATGGTGATGATGATGATGATGATGATGATGATGATGATGATGATGATGATGATGATGATGGTGGGAGTGAGGGCGTAGTAATGATCTAACAGTCATACACCTGTGTCGATATGTTGATTGCCCCCGGTGTCCAGTGCCATTCAAAGGTCAAGCTGCTCAGGAGCTTGCCCGCGGCAGATGTTCGCGCGCCTGGGTGGAGGCCCGGCCGTGCTGCTGCTGGAGCTGGTCCACGTGGCTCGGGATCTCCGCGGGCCTGTGTGGGCGCCACCCCCGCTGCCGCCGCCTCCACCGCCGCCGCCGGCGCCAGCGCCCGAAGCCGCGGCGGGCTGCCCCGAGGGCACGCCAGCCTGGGCGCTCGAGCGGTGCGAGGCGGCGTTGGCGGCCTGCGAGGTGCCCGGCCGCCGAGGCCTTGGCGCTGGCTGAGGCGCCGGCCCCGTGGGGGGCAGTGGCCGCGCTCGCGGCGTGCAGGGCGCGTTTGCACTGGCGGGGGTCGTTCACTGACGCTGGGCACGGCGGCGAGCGGAGGCCGAGGAGCTGAGGCCCGAGGGCAAGAAGGATGCCCCCGCGCGCCAGCCTGCAGCGGCGGCTGCCCCTGCGTGGCGCGGTGGCGGCGTGGTTGCGTGAAGTACGGCGAAGCACCAGATTTCGGGTCGCGCACACGGACGACGACGTGGACCACGAGCGGGCGTTGGTTTGGCGAGTCTGGCCAGTGTCGTCGGTGTTGTGGTATGTGATGTCTCCAGATCGTGGCGTGTTGGTCGAGGACCTGTCGGCAGCAGACCCCACGACGGGCCCTGCAGATGCTGGCCTGCCGCGGAAGGCAGGGACAGGGACTCGCCGCTGCCGCTGTACGGCTTCAGGGTCCTGCCCAGGGTCCTGCCAGATACGGCGAAACTGAGCGAGCAGATGGCGGAGTGTAATTAAGTGTGCGGCGTATCTCTAGGTCGGCTTTGTTGCGAGGCCTCTGCCGACTCAGGCAGAGGTGGGCGGCGCGGTGTGTGAGCAGACCTTCAGCAACGGCGGCATCGCGACCGGGGGACGGCGATGCCTCGGCCCGAAGGCGCGTGGATACTCAGTGAACCCCTCGGCCGGGCGAAGATCAGGCAGGTGATCGACCTGACTGACCCGGACCGCGTTTGCAGAGATCCGGCGCTGGTGCGAGGCGCTGATGCGCACGGTCGTGCTCGTCGGGCTGACGCAGCTGACGTGGCGAACTTAGCGGAGACCAGGCGCCAGCAGATGTGGGACCCTCTGAAATTGCTTCTGCTGTGCGACGTCGGCGAGGAGGAGGCGGCGCCCTGGCGACGCGCTGGCGGGCCACCGCCGGAGCCGCCGCCGGCCGCCCCGCGAGGCCGCCAGCAACGGAGGCGGCGCAGTGGTTGGAGGAGGGGCGCCTCAGTTGTCGGCACAGGCGAAGCCAGTGCCACCCCCGAGGGCGCGAGGACGCCGGGGGTCGACGTCGACGCGCATGGCGGGCGAGTCAAGACGTGGCGCGACGCGCGAGAGAGTCGACGACCAAGGTGGAGGGCCATGTACCTTGCTGCACCTTGGAGCGGTTCGGCGGGAACCCGAGGAATTGGCTTGACAAGTGGTGCCGGGAGCATCGCGTCGGGAAGTCGGACCGACCCTAGCATGAATTTGAGCCGTTGATCGACGAGACGCGGATGATTGGCGGCAGCTTCGACCTGCTCAACGCGCCGCCCCTCGTCAGTTCCAAGAAGATCAGCAGGAAGACCCCGCTGACCATCGACGCGCGCGGGCCCCTCGCGGCGAATGGCGCGCTAATGCAAAAGGGGCGGCCACGCTCGGCGACGCGGTCAGCCCGGCCCCGCGGGCCCACGGGGCGCGCTTGGCGAAGGGGGAGAGCGAGGCGAGTTCGACTGGAGCGCGCGCCCTGACAGCTGGCGGCGGCGGCCGCGATGACGAGCAGGGGGCCGACGGGAAGAGCGATCCGAAGGGTCGCGGACGCGGACGCGGCCGCGGCGGCCGCGGCCAGGGGGCCGACGCCCCGGCAGACGGACAACGGGCAGCGGCCCAGGCGGCGGGGAGGGCCCGACTCCACGCCCGCGGCGCGCGCGGCTGCGAGGCCTCGATCTGGCCTTCAAGCGGCAGCTGCGGCTCCATCCCGTTGCCGCGTCGGCCTCTCGCGCGCTGGGCCACTGGCGCCAGGGGCCGCCCGCTGCGGGGTCTTCGCGGCGAGGCTCTCGCGGCGTTCAACTGGCTCGACGCCGGCGGGGCCGTCGCAGAGAGCGCGCCCGCGCGCGGGGCGGCGGCCGCCCGCGCCGAGGTGTTCCAACAGAGGACGCAGCTGGCGCCTGGCGACGACCCCGCCCCGTCGCCCCTGGACGCCTTCCGCGAGCTGTTGCAGGGTCGGGCCGTCGACGCATTCGAGCCCGCCAGCGGGGCGCTTGCGCCCAGCCGTCGCCCTGCGGCGTCACCCCCCCAAGACCGTTGCGGGTCGTCGTCTCTTCTCGGACTTGAGCGCCGCGCGCCGGCAGCGCGCGGGGGGGGGGGGGGGGGGGGGCGACGAGCGCCGCAGACGGTGGACGAAAAACAGAGGATGATGCATGCCAGCCCCATCAAGTCGCGCGAGGAGCCTGGGCCCAGTCGCAGTCGGCGCCGCTATCCAGGCTGCGCGGTGAGTTTGCGACGGCGGGGCCTTCTGCGGATGCCCGGATGGGCCGCCCCTGCGCCGAGGGGGCGGGGGCGTTCTTGGCGCGGGAGAAGGGGCGCGAGAGGAT